CTCTCTACCCCACCTTCCACCCACCATCCTGGTATCGCCACTCTCACCACTGGTCCTGAGGGGTTCATCTGTCCTGGATGCCTTGTGTTTCCAATTCCTATCTGTACCAGTGTACATCCTCTGGTCTAGCCAGATTTGTAAGGTAGAATTGGGATCATGATATTGGGGGTGGGGGGTGGAAGCATTTAAGAACTAGAGGAAAGTTGTATGATTCATCTTTGCTACACTGCACCCTGACTGGCTTGTCTCCTCCCTGCGACCCTTCTGTAAGTGGATGTCCAATTGCCTACAGTTGGGCTTTGGGTCCCCAATCTGCACTCCCCCTCATTCACAATGATATTATTTTTGTTCTTTGATGCCTGATACCTGGTTCCTTCGACACCTCGTGATCACACAGACTGGTGTGCTTTTTCCATGTGGGCTTTGCTGCTTCTGAGCTAGATGAGCCCAGGTATTTTTTAATATATAAATAAGCTTGTAAAGTGTTATTGGAATACAACCATATCCATTAGATCACAAGTTATATGGCCGATTTCAAAGCTGAGCAGTTGCAACAAAAATTATTTGGCATTCAAAACCTAAAATATATGCTATCTGGCCATTTAAGAAAATATTTGCTAATATGTCGTTTAATGAAATGGCTGATATTCCTGAATTTCCTCCTGGTCTCCATCCTGGCATCTACAACAATGTTTTGCATGTAGGATTGAGAGGAGCTGTGGATATGAATAACGTGGACTCAGTGAGAATAATCAAGTCAGACCAGCCCCTCTGATTACTGATGTCCACAGACGGGAAAACTCTCCAACTACAATTATGCTGAACTTTAGAATATTTACTGATATTGCATTAGGGCTTAAACTGCTGTGAGAAATACAGCAAAGGCATATTTGCTAAGGATAAATCTTGAGGAGAAGTGTCTGGAAGAAATTACATCACTTACAGAGTTCAAGACTGGAGCCTTTTCACAGGTATTTTTACCCTTTATCCAGTTGGCCCTGAGATGATCAGAGATTGTTTATATTACTTATTTTATCAAGAAAATGTGAATAGAAACAAAGAGAGTTAAATAAATATTCAACACTCTCAAATAAATTTGTGAAACGAATTTCACATTATGTGAGTTGGTTGCCACAATTCCTAAAACAAACTAGAGGTTTAGCTGTTGTTCACATCCACTCACTGCCCTTGAATCAATTCCAACTCATAGAAACCCTACAGGAGAGGGCTGAGCTACTCCCTAGTTTTTGTGACTAAATTTTTATGGGAGCAGGCTGCCTCATCTTTCTCCCTCCCTCAAAGTGGCTTGTGGGTTTGAACCACCGACTTTTCACTTAGCTGCCCGACACTTAGGCCATTATATCACCGCAGCTCCTTATCTCTGTGCAGCAGGTTGAAAGGACAATATAAGAGATTTTCTGGTTTCCAGTCTGCCTCAGATTATTGTGGATGAAATTAATTTTTCTTCTTCTATTTATAAGATAGCGAGACATAAAAAAACAAATAAAGCTTACATGAGAAGCTTTTATTTATTCCAAAGATTTTAGTTATACCCAGTGGTCTCTGATTATTTTTCAAAGATGTGATAGAGAGTAGGGCACTGTAAAAAAAAAAAAGAAGTGTCTTAGCTTAATCTTGAATCAACTACAATTCCAGTGGGACTTAATTGTTCATATGAAAAATAATTCTTTTCAGCCATTCACACATTCATTTAATATAAGTATTTACTGTCATTGTCGTTGACAGGTGGCAAGGAGTTGGCTCCGAACTATAGTGACCCTATACACCTTATTTATTAATCACTTATTATTCTAGATGCTTGGGTTACATCAAGGAATGAAACAGATCATGATTACTACCCTCATCAAAAGACAGTCACGTAGGGAAGATAAAACATAAGCAATAAATGTAATAAAGAAGTAAATGATATGTCCTGTTACACAGTGATGCATGGCCAAGGTTAGTGATAATTTAAGACGTGAAGACATAGTGCTAAACATGTGATTTTAATGATTAAGTTTTACCTTGTAGACTCCTTAAGTAAAATATTTTCACCTTTTTTTGCACACATAAGCTTTATATTTGTAACGTGCTTAATTTTTTTAACTTGCTTTAAGAAAACTGAAGTCAGCCGTGTCTTGTCACCTGATACCCCTTATGCAAAAGAAGCTAATGTTTCAAAAGGCACTCACCCAAGATCCTGTCACCCATCACTTGGCAAACGTTATGCGGCCAGAAAAGACTGCAAATATACTCTGCCCCACTTTGGGGGTTTGAGCTTTGCTAACATTTGTAAACACCAGGGTGTGTGTGAATGGGCCGGGAGTGCAGCACATTGGCAGGCTTGCTTAGCACCTTAGCTTCCACCTTTGAAATGCCTTTTGTCATTAATAAACTTCTTCGTTTTTACTTTAAACAAACTTGTAATCTTTCCTCCGAATGCAGCAGGAAGACACTTCTGTCTGAGGTCACTTTCAAACCTCATTTTCACCGTCCATCTAGAGATCTGATATGTCTGAAAGAAGACAGGTGCTCTAAAGAAGGCAATCTCGATAGTGGCTGAAGTAGAGCAGCGAATCACTACATTCCAAATAACATCAGCATTTAGCAGGACATATAAATATTGCAGCAATTCCTAAAACTATCAGGCAATATAGATTCAGTTTTCTCAGACTTTACCTTGAGTATAAATGTTAAATTCAAACCAACTGCAATCAAGTTGATACTGATTCGTAACACATGACCCATTACTGACACTTGTCAAAGACAAGTCATAGCAGCCCTGCAGAACCCTGTCCCTTTTAATTTCTGGGATTTTACACCTTCACTAGAGCAGACAGCCTCATCTTCTTCCTCCTTCAGAGTGGCTGGTGGGTTTGAATCACCAACCTTGTAATAACCAGCTCCATGCATAACCCACTACCCCATGAGGGCTCATTTTATATTTTAGGCATCAGAAGCTATGACTCTTAAGGAACAGACCATAGCATCTCACTTGGCTGGTGGATTTGAACTGCCAACCTTGTGGTTAGCTAGCAGTTCTACACCTAACCCAAACTACCACCGGAGCTCTGTATGAGTAAATATGTTAGAGAACACAAAAATAGCACAACTGACATCCCACCACATAGTAGATGAAATAAGCCAGGAAGAGTGTGGAAACAGAAATCAGGACCAAACAAGAAGAGTTTCCTTAGGAAACAATCTTTCACATGAAGTTCAGTGCTGCTCTGGATCCATGCTTTCCAGATGTGCGTGTCTCTAGAACACAGCACTGCTTTCCTCAGGCTGGAAATTGGCCATCTTAAGGTAGAAGGCCTATGGCTTTTAGGGCATGTTAATGATTTTTCTACTTCTCTTCTTCTTAAAGGGATCAAACTTTTTTTGAGTGTGAAAGTCACAGGATATGTCAAATGGTTTTTTTTCCCTCCTAAAAATAAACCGGCTGTTGAGTGGCTTACCGAAACTCATATGCATCTAATTAACAGATCAGAGTAAAAGTGAGAATGTATAAAAGTCATTCCGGGAACTCACAGGTGATGTTAAAAACAAATTATTATATATGCATAAAATTTTAAAATGTGAGCAAACACTTTCATGCTCAATTGCAAGAGAAATGCATTTTAAAGTAATGTTCAGTTTTACATTTTCCTGAATGATTATGGTCAAATAACCTCCAAAAAGGAAGGGCATTTACATTTTCCTTGGTATCTAATTTATAACATCTGCGCTATTTTGATGTAGGTACTAAATGACTCAAGCACTCCTACAGATGCTTCTCAAAGTCTACCCACCTGTAAGTGTAAAACGTCTTCTCTTTTATGGTTACTATTCTAAAGGCAAGGAATGCTTTTTAAACTTAACAATGGACATTTATTTTAAAATACTTATAACTAGAGCTACTATTTTATGAAGAGCTTGGGTAAGTTTTTGGAAGCTTCTTTGTCAATAGGGAATTAACAAACTCCCAATAACGTATGTCACCACGATACCCTGATAGTCTGTAAGTGTTGTGCTGGCTGTGGTGGTGTTAGGTGCCAGCTAGCTGGTTGATTGTGACTCATCGCGACCCAGTGGACTCAGAATGAAACACCACGTGCTCCTGAGCCATCCTCACCATTGCTACGTTTGTGCCCTTTGTTGTACCCCAACTACTAGCTGAATGGTCGACAGTTTGAGCCCACACGGAGACTCCTTGGAAGGCAGGCCTGAGGATTAGCTTCTGCAGATGTGTTCCAATAGAAGAAATTATTTCGATGAGACTGGATAGTAACCGACATACACCTATCTCCTACCAATTTAGCTCCTTCTTCAGTTGTCCCCATAAACAAAATGAAAGAACATTGTCTAGTTCCTGAAAAGATGTGAAATCTATGATTCAGACTGACCTCATTTCATTATGAGGGCACCTCTATTATCATGTGACAAAAGGGAAATAATGTTCAATGCTGACCATAGTCAGATGAAAAACTAGAGTTCGGTACACATGGCGATTAAAGATGACCAGTCACTGTTCACGGACGTTCTAAACCCTCAGAGTTGATTCGGACACGCAGCAACCCTGGAGGAAAGGGTAGAAAGGCCACTGGGGTTCCAGAGTTGTGGCTCTTCGCCAGGGGAGAACCTGAAACTACTGATCTAGTGGTTGGATGCCACCCGGGAGACAGAATGATCATCGCACGTGAGTTTTCTCTTCGGTTTAGAATTCAAACTGGGCACAGTTTCCTGAGCATACACATTTATGTTTTTCTTTCATTTTTGTTCTAGCCATTCTGAACTTGATGGAGAATTGATGTAGGCAAATCTGGATAATGAGGGAAGTAGCACCTAATACCGTCTTTGCTTATAAATGATACACAGAGTGCTCGTCCTTGGCATTCGGTTTAGACAAACACCCTGCTTCTGGAGCCCTTCCCTTCCTCTCTACTTTTATACACGTGTCCACTTCACCCATCCGCCAATGACAACAAATATTTCACCCAGAAGGAAATTTGGATTACCATGGCTGTTACATCTGGACGTTTCCACGAGCCTGCCATTCTGATCATAACATGCCATTGCTTGGTAACGGTATCCTTGTCCACATTCCTTGACGTCTCCTTGAACCCTCATTCCCAGGGGCACTTCCGCTTTACCTTCGGGCAAAATGCAGTCGGACCAGTTCCCCACAGGCTGCGCATTATATTTGTCACAAGGACAATACTGAGTCTCAATCAGGGGGTACAGGTGAGAGTTTTTACATTTTTCTTTCTTTTTACTTTTTCCTGTGGGGGGGGGGGGAAAGAAAAGTATCAGACAATTCAAATGGGAAAATAACACTTTCCATTTCAAACATCCTCAAATTTTCTATTTTCCTAAATTTCCTCATTTATTTTTAACTATATGCACTATTAATCTATAAATGAATGCTACACATTTTCTATATATATTTGTGTTGTATTGTGTACTTTGCACAGTGAACATTTCTAATTTTCCAGTTGAAAAATAGCCCTTTTTGCATAAGGCACTAAATGTTGTGCCACATGTTATACTCTTCAGAATAATTAAAATGCTGAAATGATGATCTGACTCCACTGACTGGTGACTTTGAGTAAGTGCATAAACCCCTTCTTTACAACATATGCAAAAAAAGAGAGTCCTCTCTCTCTTTTTTAATTCCAAAGCAAATGGCCGAGCTAAGCAGGATTAGAATAGAAAGAGGAGATTTTGGATTTACTCTACTGAACATGAATTTTCATCTTCCCGCATTTTCCATCTCTCATATTTCTGAAGGGTAATCACTTTTCCATATTATTAATTAAGATAGGAAATATTAGTGAAGTTCAAAATGAAAATATTTAATACTAGAATAAGTATATTTTAAATAATGTGAACGTTAGTATGCTAAATAAGTTCCCTTTTAAAATAAAAATATCTTTTAATATTGTTATACATGAGCTTGAATATAATATAGAATTAATTCTTTTAATCATATTATACCTAACAGTTACAAATATCATATAATGAATACTAATTTTGTATGATTCATTACACATATATTGTAAGAATTAATCTCTAACCTTTTACAGATGCCATATATATGAGGGGTCTTCAGAAAATTCATAGAAATGCATATGATGAAAAAATTCTGTATGGATCTAAACATTTTTGGGTACCATTTTTGGGTACTAGCTTGTTATAGCATGTCTAGACAGGATCTAAAAAGTTTGAGGAACTAAAAAGAGTAAGACATTAGCTTAAAAGAGCTCCTATCACAGCCTATGAACTGTGCATAACAGAAACAAAAATAAACATGGACATTTTGGTGAAGCTTGGGTGGACGATGCATGAAATCATTACAATTTTATGTAAAGTTTATGGGGACAATGCCCCAACGAAATCACAAATTTACAAACGGATAGCTCCTTTTAAGAAGGGACCACACAAAGTGGAAGATAATAATAGCAGCCAATACCAAAGACCTCTCAATTGGTTCCACTCACACAATTCTGACTTAACAATTAAAGGTGAGCAAACTTTCTGGTCAGTGGGTCCCAAATTGTTGCACACGTTGTCGGATACAAACAAGAAAAGTGCTTTCAATGGAAATTTTAAATAAGAAGAATAAAGATTCTGGGGCCCATCTTTGAAATCCGTGCGAGCCTGAAGACAAAGCACAATTAAAACGATGGCTGGCAAGGGTGGCAGTGGTCTAGTTCCACCAAAAGTGGGCCCATTCGGATCCAAGGTCGTGGCAACAGTTTTGTTGGATGACCAGCGTGCTTTGCTTGCTGACGTTCTAAAGACCAAAGAAAAAACGGCATCTGCTTATTCTGATAGTGTTTTGAGAAAGTAAGGTAACACTTGAGCTGAAAAACAACCTGCAGAGTTTCACCATATTTTTTTTCACCACCACAATATTGCTCATTCTTTTCATGAAACAAGAACAATTTTATAAGACTCAAATTAAGCATTAGGCATCCACCTTACAGTACTGAGTAGTTTTGTGTTTTTTTCCTTTCTGATTTCTTTTCATTTCCTAATCTTAAAACTTCTTTAAAGATCGCCCAATTTTCTTTAATCAAAAATGTCTAAAGGCTGCATCGGCACAGTTATTGGTAGGATCCTCAGTTGTTTGGGGATAGACTAAATAGCGGGTACTATTGTTGTTGAGAAATAGAGTTCATATTTTATATTTTTATCTTTTAATTCCATTCTCCCACAAACTTTAGAAGTTCCTTCAGCGTATTCAGCATTCTTCATTATGACAGGTGATTCATTTGACCTCTTTTTAATGTTGAATAGTCTAGCACCTATATATTTACTTATCTCTTTTTTTCCGCCACTAACAGGTTTTTTTTCTCACTCAAATTGACCAGCTTTTAATTCAGTATGTGACCCCTACTGGCTCACCAGTGTCAGTGCATGTTTCATTAAGACTGGCTGCTTTTTAAATGCCGTTTTCAGGTCAGAGCTAATGTTCTATTCCTCATTTTAGGAGAGGAAAGATGAGCTGTGTGTGGACAATAAGAATAAGTTAAGACACTGAGGGGACAGTTTTCCTCTTCGCTTCACATAGTCTCTAGGCAATGCCCTGAAAATATATTTCCACACCAAAAAGGAAGATGCTCTGTACTGAATCAACAGTGAGGTTCACTTCTCTAGGCTGTGCATTATTCCTACTAACATGTAGAAATGCTTGCGTGACTGCTGACTTGCATTAAGATACACATCTGATACAGAGACATGCTAACTCTAAGTACAGCAGTCTTTTCAAATACACGTTCACAGTCTTTTGGTCTTTTTTGCTGTGCTTTGCTACCTTGACAAGTGTTGGCTTTGCAGCCATGCCTATTCTTACCAACAACAGTGCGTTTTCTGGTCCGAACGGCACCGCAGTCTCCATTGCATGGAGAAAACTTGGACCAGCTGGTAAACTGACAGTCATCTTGGCAGGGGATCTGACAGGCCTGGGTTAGGGCTGGCACTGGGCCCGCATGTCGGAGGCATTCAGGAATACCAGCCTGCCCGCCATCTTGTTTTCGACAACTGATAGCTAAAAGAAAAGCATGAAGCTGATTAGAATAAATTCGAAGGTCTGTAATGACAGTTTGGAAACTTCTCAAACCATTGTTTTGCAATAAACAAATGACTCCACATGTAATGTCTTATTTATGGAACAAATAGGGTCAAAGCAAAACAAAAAACTGAACTCACTGCCTTAGTGTCAACGGTAATGCTCTAATAACCAGCAGGTGGCATCATATGGATCCTGTAGGCTCTTTTAAATAACATTGTCTCAGTGGATTTTGTGCACAGCAAAATACATGCACATGTGCAGGCAAATACAACGGACATTCAGTAGTTTCTATTACGGATTTCAATTCGTATCATGTGTCTGACAATCATTTGTATTAAGCAAAAGATATTAAAAAAGGAATTGTGAGACACTAACATCTAATAATGGTATTTATAACACTGACCACTCTAGCTAGGAGAATCTTAGTTGCAAAATTGGGTTGGAAGGTTGAGGTGGGGAGAGGAGGTGTTATGGATTAAATGATGCCCCTCTCTCAGAGAAGTGTCATAGATTCTAACTTCCATTGCTGTGGTAGGGAGCCCTCGCTGTGCACTGGCTAAGCACTCAGCTGCCTTAATATCCTGTTTCCCTGAAAGTCAGACTTTTGCCTCTTGCTTAAATATAAGGCATCCCCCCAAAATAAGACTTCCCCGAAAATAAGGCTTCCCGAAGCTACCATAACTCTGGACTCTGGACCGCAGTGGCGGGCACCGCTGCACAGCTCACTGTTGGCAGCAATGCAGCCAGAGCAGACAGGAAATGTGAAGTCTTTCTTAATAAAACAATAAACAATAAATGTGTACCGTATTCTTCTTCATGGAAAAATAAGACCTAGCGCATCTATGGGAGCAAAATATGAATATAAGACACTGTCTTATGTTTGAGGAAACAGGGTAAATGCCAGCCGTTCAAACCTGCCAGCTGCACCCTGGGTGAAAGAGCAAACAATCTGCTTCCATACAGAGTATAGCCTAGGAAACGCAATGGGGCAGTTCTACACAGTCCTATTGGTCACAATAGGTCATAATGGACCTACTAGAAATGGGTATACTGTACCATGGTTATAATCACATTTAAGAATGGGTTATCTTTATTGTGCTAATGGGGCAAGATTAACGTAGGATATATCTTAAGTAGTGTAGGATATATCTCCTTGGAGATAAAGAAGATTAAACAAGCTACTAAACAGAGATTAGAGAAGAGAGATGTCAAGGTTGAATTCAAATCTTACCTTTCTAAACCATGAGAAAATAAATAGCCATTAATTAAAGTTATCTATTTTCAGGTTGGTTTTTTTTAAAAGACTTTTTTTTCTCTTCAAAATTTAAGTGACATATATTCAGAATGAGGCTTTTTGGACGAAACTTTCAGTGTTTAGATTCAAATGCACAGGATCTCCCTGGGAGAAAGAGGAGGCTGTTTGTTCCCCTAAAGAGATGGTTGCCTTGAGTTAGAATCAACTCAACAACAAGAGAGGAGGTTTAACGAACTTGTTTTGAAATGACATTTGCATGAAAAGTATGTTATTTTTATTAATTACATTGTAAATTCTTTGGGATGGCATTGGAGAGATTAATGGGGGAGGTCAGAGCAGTTTCAGAGTCTCTTACTTCCATCTCAAACTTGAAATTAAAACCAGAGTAGCCATCTTAATCTATCATATCATGTACTTTTACTAAGGTATATGCAGATTTAAAAAATAATTTTAATATTTGTATGTTATTTAAGCCAAGATGCTGTGCAACATTTTAAACCAAGAAATAGGTTTACTACTTAGTGCACAGAGACGTACAAGTCCGTAGGATAACTAGCCTTAAAGTACAAAGAAGGGGAAAGAAAAGGGGAGTCGGGAGGCGGCTGTTAAAAGTGTGTTTTCTCCCACGGGCCCCTTTCCTCACCCGGTTTTATAAATAACTCATTCCCCTGATGAGAAAAGAAATGAAACATTTAGATGTTAGTCTTAAAAATAATTTTCATCAAGCTCGTTTAAAAGGCCTCGTTCACACTGACTTGTGCGGCCTTCCAGGCTTGTGGTGAGGTTGAAACGACTATGGGCCTCTGCCCTGCTGGAATTCGATCATCGTGAATAAACGTTAAATAGCTCGACAGTTTGACTCTAAGAGGCCCTGGGTTAGATATCACTCTCAGGATCTAACAGTAAGGCTTAGCATGTAGATCTCTGGTGTCCCGGCGGGGTAGGCATTGGGGCTACTAACCACAAGGGCTGTGATTCGAACCCACAGTTTCTCCATGGGAGAAAGTTGCAGCTGTCTGCTCCATTAGGGTTCCTTTGAGTCAGCCTGCACTCAATGGCAATGGCTGTGGGTGTGTGGAGGGTAGAGGCTGTGTACACTGTGTATGTGTGTAAAGGACACAATGAGCGTGCGGGTGAAGACTCTATTCTTCTTTGGAGGTAGACAAGCCCACCATTTCAGATGATTTTGATGCAGACCTTTCTATTTTGTGCAAATGTAGGTGAGTATTTACCTATGTCTTAGCTATAGAGGTCTCTACACTTAGAAGGAACAGTTTTGGAAGAGAAACTTCTTTGGGAGAAGCTAAGGGGTGGGTTCAATTTTAAAGAGAATGAAACGTGGTTGAAGAGACAGTGGAGATTATATGAAGGTTGAACGACAGGAAGAAACAAAGCCCCAGAGTCTCACCACATGGGAGACGAGTTCACTAGTATTTAAAACAGTCTGAAATAGTGAATTCCAATTCAATTTCATTACAAACATCTAGATAGTTTTTGAAAAATACCACTGCCCTTGCCAATGCCTACTGCATGGATTAACTGGTGTGGGATAGGGTGCTGGGAAGGTGGCCTTATGGTGTCATTTTAAACCACTCAGTTCCTAAGCAAAGGGTCTCAGTTCAAAATGAGCCACAAAAAGGGAGAAAAGATCTGACAATCCATTTTCATAAACATTACATCCTAGAATATGTTATAGGGGTGTAATGCTCAGTCCTATAGGTTGCTGTGAGTCAGAATTGATCTGCAACATCAGAATCCTGGACTTATCAGCTTTTGAAGGTTTGCTGATGGCTTAAATACTTGGACAGCTTAGATGGGGAACCATATTTTCTACTACTTTTATTATTTCCACCTGCATCAAAAGTATCTAAAATGGTATGAATTTGGAGACACCTGGACCCATCACAGTAGGAGAGTGGAGGGATCTACATGGTTTTACAAGCTCACCAGGTGAGGTGTGTGCACATTTAAGTTTGAGGTCCAGTGGCTTTCATATTTATGCATAGGCAGGCTCTCAATGAAATATGACTAAAATTGGAAATTGTCTGGCGCCCGGTTCCTCTGGCACAGTGCCAATATTTTTGGAACCTGGCTGAGCTTTTGACTTTGCACTGAGAGCTCTAACCTTGGAGTGGAAGGGAAAGGCTTCAGGGATCAAAAGCGAGAGGATTCGAAAGTTGTCCATGAAGTGTGGAAGTGGGGTGATGCCAGAGAACCTCTCTGGATACAATATACAAATGAATACCTTTTGTAGTTGGGAAACAGTATCGACTCCTTATATCCTTAAATAAACTTCAGTAGTCTCATGGAAAAACGTATCCCTAGAAAGCCCAGAAAAGAATGATTGAGGAAGATATTTGACTTTATAGTCATCAGGACATGTAAGAATCTCAAAAGTGATTAATTTGGAAAAGAAGAGATTAATCATATTTGACCTCAAGTTGTGAAGAGGGTCACATTGCCTAAAGAGAAAACAAAAATTGCAAAAGAAATTTGGGGTTTTTGGAAATGAGTCTTCTTTTACCTACTCATCCAATTTGGCTCTCTGAAACTGAGGCTTGAATGTAAATCTTTCAAGAAACTAAATGAAATTGCCTGAGGTTCTCCAATCTTACAAATTCTATTTCAGAATTGCTCCAGCTATCATCACATTAAATGACACCAATAAAAGTGAAATCAAATGAAACCACCACCAACACAATTACAGAGACTCATTTATTTTGTGAAGATCTATACTCTTCCCATAAATCAGAAACCCTTTTCCCCCGATAGCCTTGCAGTTTGTAAAATCTTACGCACTTTTTCAACTAGTTGGAAAGAGAAAAAAGTGTAACAATTCCTTATCTGTTCACCAAACCCCACTCAGCACTCGATTATGCTTATCTGAAATGTTAGACAGTGTGCTTTAGAATGAATTACTCATACCATCTAATCCAAATAAGTAGCAACAGTGCCTTTTGTCCAATGTATTGAAAATTTATCACAAATCTCAAGTTGTTTGTGTTCTGATCTAGAGGAAACACAACAATTCAAACACAGCAGTGCAATCTGAAGTGAACTTCCTGCTATTAAGATGAGGAGAATATAAAGGTTTGGAAAGGAAATCATCTGATTTCTCAAGTAATGAATCTTAAAATTAATTTGAAGACAATGAAAGCAGGGTGGGCTTAACTATTAAAAAGGCACACCGTACAAAGCATGCTTTACTAGCGCTCTAGAGAGCTACCCCTACACAGACAACTGTGGCTGTTTATAAAACGGGAATAAATCTTGTGCATGATTATGTAAGTTCACCTTTGACCTGAGGCCCTGTTAGGAAAACCAGACCACATCCATGGCCGTTGAATCAATTTGTGACACGTTACAGAGTAGAAGTGAGCTAGCTCCACAAGGTTCATGCTGGCCTAGGAGCAGTTCTCTGTTACCTGGCCCCCGCTGCCTCCCTTCCCCTCCCTAAGCCAATACATTCATTGGCCTTAACTGATTCCAACTTACAGCAACGTTCTAGAACAGAGTAGAATTGCCCCAAAGGATTTCTAAGGCTTTAAAGAATACAGAAACACTGCCACATCTTCTCCCAAGAGGCTGGTAAGTTCAAACTACTCATCTTTTGGTTAGCAGCAGAGCACCTAAGCACTATGTCACAAAGCCTCCTTCTAAGTAAGTGAGGAAATAAGTAAGTAAATTCACCGCCATGGAGTCCCTGCTGACTCAGCAACTC